GATACACTGTGCTTTTTCAGCATTCAAAGATTGATGACACCGTGTCAGAGCACTGGCTATGAATTTCAGAAGGATCAGGCCTTAACTTAACAGAAAAGTTAGCAATAGTTCTTTTCCTGTTACAGCTACATCCACTTCTGTCGTGCCCAGGCTGCTCACTAGGGCTGGGTATCATCACTGATTTCTATAATCCATTCGATTCCGGTTTTCAAAGTCCCGATTCGATTCAACTTAGCCTCAGACAGTCAGAAATATTATAATTCTGATCATTTATCAGTACTGACTTCATCAGAATTGTGAACATCACAGCAGATTCCTTTGTGTGAAAGTAACTGAGAATAAAACACAGAAAAACATGAAGGAGATTTTCCTGGTCTGGCTTTTTATAGCAGATAACCTTAAAGATATTCTACAATGTTCTGCATATAAAGTTTAAATTTCTTCAGTATTGAACAACAGAAAAAATAGGCTTTCTTGAAGAAAAAGACAGTAGCCGACAGCACTGTAAACAACGGTAGACTGGTGGGTAATAAGCGAATAAATAATACAGAAAACAGAGATTGGAGATGGGAAACTGTTCTTGAAGTACAGAGAGAGATAGAGAGAGAGCTAGCTGTGCATGGATGTGATTTTAATAGTCGTGGAAGCAAAACAGCAAAATTCAGCTCGGTGAATTTTGGTTGGAGAGAGACAAAACCTGCAGCTCAGAATCAGCGCAAAAAGACGTAAACACATCGCGGACCGGACGCATCAGATTCGCTAAGCTCCGACAGCGTGTCCGTCTACGGGCCGTCGGGTGAGAAAGCCGAGAAAGACAAAGTTAATTCTGATGGGTCGGGTCCGCTCTGTGTTTACGTCTTTGTGTGGAGTCCGTGTACCTGCTCTGATTTGCTGTTTGGTTGTTGTTGAACTGGTTTTGTGAGCTTTAATCTGAGAATCTGGCGTTTCTGGCAAAACACAGTTATATTTAAAAGTCGATTCAGGATTTAATGAATTGATATCGCTTTATTCAAGCTACTCACCTCCCACTTCCACCTGACTTTCAACTGGACCACGGCCAATCAGAGAGGTCCCGCCCCTTACTATCTCTGATTGGTTTAGTCCACGATAGGGACAAAATGTGTGTCTGTTGTTGACCACAGGGAAGGTTGCAGATTTTTTATTTATTTTTTTGCTACCCGAACAGTTGGTCGCACAGGTGCAACCAAATATTTTTTTTTAGTCGCACCACTGAAAAATTTGGTCGCACTCTAGAGCCCTGTTGGGGGTTCAAATCCACCAAACAGCGGCTATCCTGAGATACCCTTGAGCAAGGTACCGTCTCTACACACTGCTCCCCGGTCATGGATTGGTAGCTGCCCACTGCTTCACTGAGTAAATGGGTTAAATGCAGAGGACTAAGCATTTTCCTACAGGATTAATAAAGTATACATTAACTATGAGATTCAAGATCAGGCAAATTCCATAATATTCGACACATCTGTAAAGCAGAAATATCAGTAAAATGCACAGGAAGTAATATGACTGAAATAGTAATAAAAATAACTTAATATAATTAGTGAATAGGACACTTTTGTGACATTTGCCAAAATCATTAGAAAAAGGGTCAACACCGTCAGACAGAAATCCTGATGGTGCTGACAAAATACCCTACTTTCTCTCATAGCATGTTTTTCTGACAGACGCCATCTTGTTGTTCATCAGTTGCTTATGGCCTCTACTGTGGTGTTGATGCACTATGGTTGTGACACAGAGTTTTATCAGAAAGGTATGCAATAAATGAAATAAAAATTAAAAAAACTCACCAGAGCAGTGACCTCATGGCATGTGTATCAAACAGGAAGTGGTAAAGGGGTCCTCACAGTGTAAGTTACCCACAATAATTCCTGATTTTTTTGTACTTTTTAAAAAATCTGATGGTGTTGACAGAAACTTTGGACATGTTTTGTCCCTTATCTCAAGAATCACTGATATATTCTCAAAATCTTTCATAAACTGCCTGCTTTTCAGGAATGAGGTGGTAATTCGATTTTGGAGCAGTTCTTGAGCCATAACCAATGATGAGCAGCTTTCCTCACTGTCACTGGTACGGTGCTGCACTGATGCCTTCCTGAGAGCCAATGCAAGCACAAAGAGTTAAGTCAGCAGTTTTTTGATGAGCTTTCAATATTTCCTTTAACTAACGGGGAGTGAGGTCCTTTTATCTCAGGCATGTCAGGAATACTGAAACCTGGGCTGACTGACCTGACCACAGCCTCTATGACTTCAGCATCACTGTGTCCTTTACACAAGAGGCTGACTGGCCCACAGATCTTGACACCTCTCCTTACTGTCACTTCTTGAAGCCTGTTTGCTGCTGTAGGAAACACGTTTTATGGAGCTGTCAGCTGACTCGGCGATGTTCTGTTCACTCTTTGACACACCCTGCTAATTGCTTATATTAACATCTCTTGGCTGGTCTGAGAATGGGTTGGCGTTCCCCGGACAAGCTGGAGGAGGCTTCTCTGCTTGGCTGCTGCTGTGTTACTGCTGCATTTCTGCTCATCAGACTCACCTAATGAGATGGCTGGAACTGTTTCTTTTTGGCGAGGTGTCTGATGTCAGCTGGCAGTGATGATGATGATGCCACTCGAAGCTGCTTTTTCAAGTTTGATTCAGTTAGTCTTGAGTGGAAGCGCCTCTTTGCAAGAGTCAGTTTTGAAAAGACCTGTTCAAAGTGGTACGTTGTCCCAAACAGAGATGCAAATTTCAGGGCATGTCTCGCCAGGATGGGAAAAGCCTCAGCATGAACGTACAGTTTGTGAAAGTCCAGCAGAGAGAGGCTGTTATACTTAGCTTTGAGCTCGTAGTTGTTTTGCAGCCCAATTATTTCCACTTGGAAAGTGTCTGGCACAGATGGTTGCACATTAAACGGCGTAGCAAACATCTCCAGTTCCTTTTGGATATTCTTCACATCTTGAAACCTGTCATCAAATGCCTGAATGAGTTTTGCACAACGACTGTTGTTGTGATTTGGCGCTACACAAATAAAATTGAATTGAATTTAGAATTGTCCCTATTGCCAGTCTTGGCAGCCGGGGGTCAGTCCGCCAGGGCCTCCGCTCCTGGCCGCCACCCGGCACACAATGCACCCAGCTCGCACTGGAACGTTTCGCAGCCGAGTGTGAAGCAGCGGGAATGAGGATCAGCACCTCCAAATCTGAGGCCATGGTTCTCAGCCGGAAAAGGGTGGAGTGCCCACTCCGGGTCGGGGATGAGTTCCTGCCCCAAGTGGAGGAGTTCAAGTATCTCGGGGTCTTGTTCGCGAGTGATGGGAGAAGGGAGCCGGAGATCGACAGACGGATTGGGGCTGCAGCTGCAGTAATGCGGACGCTGCACCGGTCCGTCGTGGTGAAGAGGGAGCTGAGTGTAAAAGCGAAGCTCTCCATTTACCGGTCGATCTACGTCCCTACCCTCACCTATGGCCACGAGCTGTGGGTAGTGACCGAAAGAACGAGATCGCGGATAGAAGCGGCAGAAATGAGCTTCCACCGAAGGGTGGCTGGCCTCTCCCTTAGAGATTGGAGCCTCCTGGGCGCCTCCTGGGTGAGGTGTTCCAGGCATGTCCCACCGGGAGGAGGCCCCGGGGCAGACCCAGGACACGCTGGAGAGATTATATCTCTCGGCTGGCCTGGGAACGCCTTGGTATTCCCCGGATAAGCTGGAGGAGGTGGCTGGGGAGAGGGAGGTCTGGGCCTCTTTGCTTAGGCTGCTGCCCCCGCGACCCGGCCTCGGATAAAGCGGATGAAGATGGATGGATGAATTTAGAATTTGTTTGTTTTATTTTATTGTGAAAGAACTATAGAGGAAGCGACCACCTTTTCGCACATGCGTAGAAAAACATCCTAATTTCCTGAACCGATCAGGCAGCCAAAGGCAACAACATGGCTGCTGATAGCGATGTGAGTTTGTTTTGTAACATGTCAGTGGTCGTGTCCAAATTCATGGGCTGCATCCTCCTGAGGACCCGGCCTTCGCGGTCTATGTGGGCCGGGTCCTGAGAAGGTCGGGTAGGCCGGAAGTAAACGGCTGTTAAATTGGACGGTCTCGCCTTCGGATTAGCGTCACCGCTGTCTCGGTGGAGTTTAATAAACTCGGCCGTCTGCTCCTTGCTGTCTAAAATATAACAGGACACTGGAGTAAACTCTCGACCATCTCACACTTCTGTTTAATCAGTTTTCTGTTTGACGTTTATTCAGCTGTGTGAAAACCAAGGAGGAACCCACCTGGGGGATTAATAAAGTTTTATTTTATCTAATCTAATAACTTTAATCTCAGCCAAACCGATTTACTCACGAACAAATAAAACACTGAAAAAAGTCCAACAATAACATTTTTAGGTTGTCTAAGTGACTTATATATCACGTTTAACCTGAGTAGCGAAAGTCTGCGGTGATCTGAACATGATGTGCCGGGAGTTGTGCCGTTCTCTGCGGCTTCAGTGACCCTCGAGCTCCCGGCTAGCTATCGAGCTGGTGGGTAACAGACGTGTAGGGACCTTGCTCAGGGTACCTCAGCTTAGCTTTTCACTTGATTCAAACCCCCAACCTTCTGATCCCGGGGCAGCCACTCTACCTACTGACCTATCCCTCACACACGTTTACATCGTTGAACAAGTCTGTGCCACAGAGCACGCTGCATCGCTGCATCGCTGCATCGCTGCATCGCAGCAAAGAATGGGTTTGGAGGATTTTTTTAGAAGTGATGAATTGCTGCAGCCCCAGATTACGCCAATGAACACAACATATTAAAACCAGTCTGTGTAGCACTCAGTGGTCCGTGCAGTGACAGTGCTGACATACATGCCAGTACAATGCAGTTCTGCAGCTTGTTGCTCTGTGTTTCAGTCGGACTGTTTAGTTTAGCTGGATTGTTGCTGGTTGAGAGAAACTGAAGCTGGATGTCGGGCGTGTACCAGAGATCCTGCTAGTAATGCCTTCTGCTGTTTATCTTGTGTTCAGTCAGGTGCCGATGTTTGTGCAGATCCAGCAGAAGTGGAGGCGGATGTATGCCGGAGAGTGCAAAGGACCAGGCGTGCGCACCGACTTTGAGATCGTTCACCTGCGTCGAGCGCCCGTGCAGTACAACCACCTGTCCGGCCTGCTCGACATCTTCAAATCTAAGATAGTAAGTGCTCTGGAACAAACATCTTTATATGGATCATATTTCAAGGTTGTTTGTTTGTTTTTAATAAAGAAAAATTAAAATTGTGCAGCCACAGAGCGTCATGTACCCATGTTCTACAAGTATCACCTCAGCATCCTGTTCCAGACGATTTTAGGACGATGTGAATCCTGTTAAATGCAACTAATAATCATAAAAGCATCCACGAAGTGCATGTAAATGTATTTTCTAAAACATTTATTCATCTGGTTTTTCCTGCTCATGTACAGTCTCTCCTCCTCCTCCTCCTCCTGCTGTGCTCTGACAGTCACACAAAAACTGTATTCAACTTGAAAATAACACAAACATCTTATCTTATAATAAGAATATATTCTTGTAATAGTTCGTCAAAGAGCAGGTTGATAACAGTACAGCACACTGCTTAGTTATGTGAACATTGGGAAAACAGAAGAGGAAGAAGAAGACGTCTAATTCTGTGTAAATTCGGTTTCTGGATTTTTGTGGAGTTAATTTGTGAATAAAATAAAGACTGTTAGGAAGTGGATGTCGGTTTAATGATCAGTTTGTTTGAACTTTGTTTATTCCTATTCCTGGAAACACAATGGATTCCCAGACATCACGTTGTTTAACCCTTTCATGCACAGTGGTCTGCAGCTATTCAAAGGCTGTTTTCTTGTATTTGTGTTGGTGTTGATGGTAAACTTGCACAGAAACACTACACACTGATGTCTCCATACCCTTCATAAGTCAAAACCGATGTTGTCCACCTAAGTGGACATTTAAAAAATGAAGTTCAAAAATCTTATATTCATTCCTAAAGAAGAATAAAAATCCTGATTGATGTTGTCATCATCCACACATGAGGGTTAAATGTGTTCAGTATGTTCCCAGAAACAGCCGACAATGACGAGGTGTAATCCACGCCTGTACAGAGAGATTAATGCTGCAGCTTGTTACCATAAACATGAGCTGATGTCTTCCTGTTGTCATCAGGGTTGTTCCCTGTTCCCTCTGCCTCCAGTCAACATCGCCATTCGCTTCACCTACGTGCTCCAAGACTGGCAGCAGTATTCATGGCCACAGCAGCCTCCAGGTAGGCAGTACATGTCATGTCATTAATACACAAATAGAAAAATGTAATATTATTATTAAGAAATTATTAAATTTTTTTTAAATACATGTCAGCAAGTGGCTGACATCCAGAAACCCTGCCAGTGGCTTTTAGGAGTCGTGTGTGTGATGCAGGTCATGTTGTTGTTTCCTGTGGAACGATTGTACCTGCTGGTTCCAGGTCGTTCTTCTGATAAGTCTTTTCACTCGTCTGTCTGAAATCGTGTGGGGAGCGCTTGGTCGTGGCTGGTTTATCGTAAATAAATAAAAACCCTGCAGGGGCAACGCCAGGTTTATGGCCCCAACAGTGCTCACTGGAACCTTCAGTAACTTAGAAGTTCTTCTGTAGCCGATGCCATCAGTCTTAAGTGTGCAAAGGTCTTGAGAGAGCTTGTTGGTTTTACCCATCATGAGACGCTTCTTGTGTGAAACCTGGCTAATGAGGCCATAGTTGGGACTGAACCGGCTGATATTAATTTGCACTAAGTGGCAGGATTGCTCTGTAATTACTCATAAATGTGTCTTTTTGCACCTTTCTTTCTGTCCAATACATTTCCCCCGTGTCATTCTTCATTGTTAGACGTCATGTATGGACATCTATGGTGGCGCTGGGTGATATGAGGAAAATGTAATATCACAATATTTTTTTGCTATATCACAAAACACGAAATAAATCACGATATGTTTAAGTTATTTTCAACCATATAGGATCTAAATTTGCATTTATTCAAACCGACCATTCAGGATGGTTTTCTATTGTCAACATAAAAATGATCTGAATGAACTGAAATGTTTTCTTTTAACCATCAGCTGCACACAGAGGATTTTCACAGATTACAGTATAATCACAGTAAGTCTCTTTCTGTGGTCAACACTAGACTTTAACATCAAAAGATCACAGCAACAAAAAACGACGTCAAGAAAAAAATCATGAGTCAAAATAAAACGACTGAAATGAAAAAGCTGCTCTGTTGTTCTTATAAAAATGGCAAAATAAAAAAAATGGATGACATCAAATTACAGAAACAAGTCGAGACAGTGACTATAAAACAGTTTATTTAATGTTTGCTTGGTGTGCAGGGAGACGTTGACATGCAGGGTTTAAAACATCATTTCTTTTGCAGCGAGATTCATTCTCTCACCGTCTGAAACTCCTGATGTCGCCATATTTTTACCTGTTCAGTTCAGTTCAGTTTTATTTATACAGCACCAAATCACAACAACAGTCGCCTCAAGGTGCTTTATATTGCACAGTAGATCGTACAATAATAGATACAGAGAAAAACCCAACAATCATATGACCCCTATGAGCAAGCACTTTGGGGACAGTGGGAAGGAAAAACTCCCTTTAAACAGGAAGAAACCTCCAGCAGAACCAGGCTCAGGGAGGGGCGGAGCCATCTGCTGTGATTGGTTGGGGTGAGAGAAGGAAGACAGGATAAAGACATGCTGTGGAAGAGAGACAGAGATTAATAACAGATGTGATTCAATGCAGAGAGGTCTGTTAACACATAGTGAGTGAAGAAGAAACACTCAATGCATCATGGGAATCCCCCGGCAGCCTGCGTCTATTGCAGCATAACTAAGGGAGGATTCAGGGTCACCTGGTCCAGCCCTAACTATATGCTTTAGCAAATAGGAAAGTTTGAAGCCTAATCTTGAAAGTAGAGATAGTGTCTGTCTCCTGAATCCAAACTGGAAGCTGGTTCCACAGAAGAGGGGCCTGAAAACTGAAGGCTCTGCCTCCCATTCTACTTTTAAATACTCTAGGAACAACAAGTAGGCCTGCAGTGTGAGAGCGAAGTGCTCTAATAGGGTGATATGGTACTACAAGGTCATTAAGATAAGCACAGAGGAAACTATTTCTAAGCTAAAATTCATGCATCAAATGATACGCAGCAGATAAGACGGATGTAATCAAGCTACCGATAGAAAGAACATAGTAAAGGACAAATAAAGTGTCTTTTTTTCCTCATTGTTCTATGTGTGGGCCTCCTACTTCCTCCCACAGTCCAAAGACATGCAGTTAGTGGGGACAGGTTCATTGGGGCCCTAAATTTCCCACGGTGTGAATGTCTGTCTCTGTGTTTGCCCTGCGGCAGACTGGCGACCTGTCCAGGGTGTGCCCCGCCTCTCATGACAGCCCCAAGCACTTTACATGTGATGTAAAGTGGACTTTTCTTTTGTTGCCACGTCCATGATTTAGAAAATGTTACACAGATGTTGTCCTGCTTCGCTGTGCTGAAGCGTGTGCTTCATGAAAAGTTTGAATAAGAAAATATCAGGTCAGTAACTGTTTGTGTTCCCTGTAGGTGAGGCTGTGACAGAGCTCTTTAAACTCTGCTGTAGGACTGAGTGTACAGAGGAGATTCCTGGAAGAGGATACGCTGAAGATGAGGGCAAAGGTCAGGTTCCTGGCTTTACTTGTTGAGTGACCATACTGCATTCTGGAAACGTGCGTAGCTTACTGGGAGATCTGGGCATCTGTGCTGACCCGGGCCTCAGCAATTGAACAGAAACTCTTGGATGTGTTTGTCGTCTGTAGAAAACAGTGATATCAGCTCTGCTTTGTCCAAGCTGACCGAGCCAGCAGCAACTGTGCCCATTTCCAAACTGTCTGTCTCCAACATGGTGCACAGTGCCCGGAAGCACATTCGCCGCCATCGACGCATCGATGAGTCGCCCCTTAACACCGAGATACTCAATTCTGTCCTTCTGGTAAGAGTTAATCATGTAACCTGTTTAAAAGGCATTAACTAGTCGGAGTTGACTAATACTTGACTGAGTTTTAATGGTTTCAGCTCATTTTATGAGGAAACTGATTCTGACAGAAGAGGTGTGGATCCCGTGTTAGGAGACGGTGAGCGTGATATTCAGAGCAGCAGAGACCTCGGAGCGTGTGGTAGTTTGACTCGTACTGATGTGGCTCCTCTGCTTCTTTTCACAAACAGTTTTTCCTTCCTGGTTACTGTTGAGCCCGTCACACTCAGCAGCTCGAGCTCGAGCTAAGACAGCCTTGAATCTTAAAACTACAGCGGTAATTGCATTTATGTCTTAGAGTGCTGGCCACAGATATTGATCCCATCTGACAGCAGCTCAGTAAAGCACAAGAGCGTCATCTTAAACAGGATATCAGGCAGCGTTCTTATTTTTATTGTCTACTTCTGGTCACATCCTGCTTTTGCCACTGAGCGATCAGCATCCTGTGTTTTATCATGAAGTGATGACTACGTGAGCTGCACTTGTTTAATTCTTCTAACATCTAGAAAACAACAGAGTTTCTAAATGACAGACTTATTTATTTGTGTTTGTGTCTCTGTTTCCAGATGCTGCTGTGGAGAAGTCTGACTGTAAGAATAACACTCAGCTGTCCAACTCCAGTGGGACATCGGAGCAAGAGAAAACCTCTGATTATGTATGTTTGCCTCTTCACCACTCGCACACTCAAGGTTACACTCAGGTCAGGTCCAATATAAGTTTCAGAGTGAAGACAGGCTCAGTGCTGTCAGTACTTTGTCAGGATTTTTATTGATTTCATGGTCTTTTCCCTCGTTGTAGAACCTTTTCCACCAGCTGAAGTCGGCCCCCAGTGACAGTCTGACCTACCGTCTGGCTCTGTGTGTGTGTCTGTTCAACTATTACTACGGTGGGCTGCGGGCTGTTCTCTAAGTAAATATATTTCTAAAGGTGCTTTGATGTGAAATTATCACCAGATGTCGGTAACAACACTTCCAATCCAGACGTGCAAAGGAATCAAACCACAGATGAAGTTGTGTAATAATACAAAGTGACACAGGGACATTTATTTATTACTTTATACAAATGTTGGTGATGACAGTTCATGGCAGCGTCTGTATGGAGAAACCAGTCCCATCATTGCTCATGACTTTGACCCACTCACCACACAAACAGTCTATAAATCCCGAATGCTCCGTGGATCCTTCCCACAGATTCAGCTCAGGTGATTGGCTGGGCCGTTCCAGCAGCTTTACTTGATTTCTCTGAAACCAACCGTTTCCATTGGCTGTGTTTGTGATCATGGTCTTGCTGAAACATCCATCCTTGTTTCATCTTCATCATCCTGGTAGATGGCAGCAGATTCTAATCAACAATGTCTCCATTCATCCTTCCTGGAGTTATGTTTAATGTCTCAGTGCTGTACGCTGAATAAACAGCCCCCCCCCCCCATGATGCTCCCGCCTCCAGACTTCAGTGTTGCTGTGGTGTTTTTGGGGTGAAGCCACCCAAACATGGTGTGTTTACAGCCTTCAAAGAGTTCAGTTTTGGTCTTTTGTGACCAAACTATATTAAAGATAAAGCATATTGTTGTACCTATGCATTACACTGGAGCAGAGCTTACATACACTCAACAAAAATATAAACGCAACACCTTTGTTACTGCTCCCATTCCCCATGGGATGGACGTAGAGACCTAAAATTCATTCCAGATACACAATATAACCATCCCTCCCAAACAGTGGTCACAAATCAGTCCAAATGTGTGGTAGTGGGCACATCTGCTATATTGAGATAATCCATCCCACCTCACAGGTGTGCCACATCAGGATGCTGATCTGACATCATGAGTAGTGCACAGGTGTACCTCAGACTGCCCACAACAAAAGGCCACCCTGGAATGTGCAGTTTTGTCTCACAGCAAAATGCCACAGATGCCACAAGCAATGAGGGAGCGTGCAATTGGCATGCTGACAGCAGGAATGTCAACCAGATCTGTCGCCCGTGCATTGAATGTTCATTTCTCAACCATAAGCCGTCTCCACAGGCGTTTCAGAGAATATGGCAGCACATCCAACCGGCCTCACAACCGCAGACCTCGTGTAACCACACCAGCCCAGGACCTCCACATCCAGCAGGTTCACCTCCAAGATCGTCTGAGACCAGCCACCCAGACAGCTGCTGGAACAATTGGTTTGCACAACCAAACAATTTCTGCACAAACTGTCAGAAACCGTCTCAGGGACGCTCAACTGCATGCCCGTCGTCCTCATCGGGGTCTTGACCTGACTCCAGCTCGTCGCCGTAACAGACTTGTGTGGGCAAATGCTCACATTCGATGGCGTCTGGCACGTTGGAGAGGTGTGCGCTTCACGGATGAATCACAGCGCTTTGTGTTCTGCGTCCTGATTGGGTGCAGACTATTGTTGATCTCCTCCGTGCCGTCTCTCCTGTACAGTACAGAATCGCTTATTCATTGGTTCATTAATGATTCATTGATGTTGAATTATCTCTCAGCTGCTCTGTTCTCATGTGCTGGACCTGAAAACACGGTTTGATCTTTGGTTTCTGTAATACTGGACTTATTTGTCTACGAAGGTTTGAACTTTGAGAGCTTAAACAGGAGAGAAACGTGTGAAAATGTTCATGTCGGTCTGAGTGTATAAAGTGTGTAGTGACGGGTTTTACCTTAACACATCTATAATAATTGTAAAAAATAAAGTTGGCTACTTCAGATTTCACCAATCGCAGGTTATTTTTAGAACGTAACTCCCGCGATAAACGAGGGAGCGCTGTATACAAATACTGAGAAGTATAAAATTTGAATCCTGTCTCTCTCTGAGGTGCGGGGGGAAAAAATATCGACAAGTCGATCAACATCATCTACAGATACATTCGACATCTCGAGAAATGTAAATCGCCACTTGATTCGTCCATTTGGTTGAAAAACCCGACCTTGAACAAGGAGCGAATATCACACCGGAAACTAAGCGCTATGCGCCGGAAGTAGCATATGCTAAGGCGCACAGGTCTAAGTTATAGGTCTAAGTTCCCCATAATGCACTGGGTGTTTCTTCTTCACTCAACATGTGTTAGTACACCTCTCTGCATTCAGTCCGTCTGCCCCTCATCTATCGATGGATGTTAGAGGCTTTGGTTCCCACTGTCGCTCACAGATGGTCACCTAATGTTTCCTGTGTAACTGCAGGGTCTTTGCCTTATAACATAGAAGCAGCTTGAGGTAACTGTTGTTGTGATGCTGTGTGTGTGTGTAATAAAGCTCCCTTACTGACAGTGGGTCACCACAGCTTGTAGCTCCATGTATTTGATGCGGCACGTTTGCCCTCGCTGACACAACCCTAAAGGGATTTGTGTGTATGAATAAAGTTTATTGTTCATACAGTTCATTGCTGTATGTCTGTGAAAGGCTGAATGAGGGTTGTAGCTCCCTCAGCAGCTGTGGAGCGATGGAGATGTGGTTGGTTAGACACGCTGCTTTAGTTTACACTACAAACCACACTCACCTGTTTACACTCCTTTTGTGTTACAACCACCTTGTTACACTCAAACACCAGATGATGCATCTGAGCCAACTAAGGATTCACTGAGACTGAAGAAGCTCGAGATCATAATGTGACCAAGTGGTCGGCGGGGTTATGCACAAAATAAATAAACTTGACAACGCCACCTAGGGGAATTACACCCCCAGGAAATATATTTAAGAAAAATAAATAAAAGGAATAAAAGAAGACCGCACAGATTCAAGGATGCACACTGAGGCAGGTTGGCTTCCAATATTAAAACAGTTTTATTTATAGAAATAAATAAAATATTATAAATAATATTTTATAAATAAAATATTAAAAGTCAAGATGTAGCGTCATTATTGACAGTGTCCTACAGTAAAAATAAACAATCGTGGAACTTGGACTTACCAGCAGCCGTGGAACCAAAAGAAAATCACACCAAAAGAATCACTGCAGACCACCCAGTGCTGTACAAAAGAAAGTGTGAAAACGACCCACCACCTGAGGTCCCAGGGCCACTGGCTCGTCCTCCTTCACTGAAATAAAACACAGAAAAGTATGTTAAAAGAATAAAAGGACACTGAGCGTCAGGCTCGCTACAAATCATAAAAAGACTAAAACACACTTTAATAACTTTAATAAAAGAAATCACACACACACACACACACACACGGGAAAGGCTTATTCCCCACGGGTCAAACTACCACTCGTGCTGGTAATAATTATTCTCAGGCGTAGGCCGGTCTGGCTCCCCACCGGCTGAGACCGGCCACCCAGGCGATTTAGAGTCCCAGCACGACACTCGGGCAGAGAATCACTTCAGCCCGATCACAGAAGTGTGGGTACGAGCAACAGTCCAGGGTAAAATAGAACACCAGGCGAACCCAAAAAAAGGTAAGCCTACTTAATAAAAACAAGATAAGACAAAACAAGACAAGACAGCAGACTCCACCAAGGAGGAGTTCACAACAGCAACTGAGAAGGCAGTCCACTCTTCCAATTTAGGTTGGACAATTTACCATGGAGAGGTGAGTACAGCAGTGAACCCTGAAACAGATAAGTGTAACCTTAAACTCTTATAGCTATGAATGCTAATAAAAGTAGTTCTAACAGCTTACCCCAGGACCGGAGGCACTATACTCTCATTGGTGGAGATACCACGAACACCTCTCTCCGCAATGGCAGAATTAAACAGACTGCTGCGCTACAACAGGCCGGAAAAGGATATTAACACCAATTCCAGTATTCGGAGGGAATCCAAGGTTAAGCGAGAGCATACCTGTAGCTGTCGTATAATCGGCTCTTGCTGATCAGTCCGTCGCAGTACGCCAGCATTTACTGCTGTATCGTACCAGAAGCTCGGGAGGAATTAATCCAACAAGACATCGGCTTAGCTTTATACAGGCTAGCGCCACCCTGCAATCAATGTGCAGGTGGGTTCCCAATTAACCCGATCACCTGATACAAGGAGCGAGTGCAGTGGAAAGAGAGCGAGGGTGGTAGAGCGAGCGAGAGAGAGAGAGAATGAGAGAAGAAAAACAACGGAAGGCGAGTAGCCCATCTGGCTACAATAAGAATTTGAGGCTCAGCTGATACAGTATCATAGGAGAATCCAACCATTGTATGTCAAGAGACTATAGGCAGTGAAAGCTCCATCTGGAGGAGGAACGACGTGGTTCAGAGCGTTGCCTCCTGCAGCTGGTGACATGTTCAGATTTCAGCTCTGTCGGTTAGAAAGTCTGTTTTTGTTTTTCATCTGTGTGTTGCTCTTTCATCCTTTTCTTCTTCCTGTTTCTTGCATCAAGCTGGCTGACTTCACCACTGATGAGGTAACCATGAGCAGTAAGCCTCGTGTCGCTCACAGTTACATTTAACATAGTGCGATAAACACACTCAGTCATTATAAGGTACATCCTCTAAAGGTTCACATAACAGACAAACAGGATAATAAAAATAATCTGGTTCTTTGCAGCGTCCTCAGATGAACAACACACGACATTATTACACGTCTCAGTATTTGTTACACTGAACACAAATATAAACACAACACTTTTGTTTCCATGAGCTGAACCGGATCCTGACTGGTTTTGCGACATGTGTGTCATTGTGCTACACATGTACGGCATATTTCAGAGTGGCCTTTTATTGTGGGCAGTCTCAGACACACCTGTGCAATATTCATGCTGTCTAATCAGCACCTTGACATGCCACACCTGTGAGGTGGGATGGATTATCTCAGCTAACGAGAAGTTCTCACTAACACACATTTAGACAGATTTGTGAGCAGTGTTTGCGAGCAATGTTCCCTGTAATGTTTCACGTGTCTGAACACACAAACTCCCTGAGCGTCCCTTGGACCACTGTGAGCAACAGCAGACGTGTGCACTGTGGTCACACCAGCATCCAAGAATACTTTTACACAACAAGACTTCTTCAAAAAAGTAACTGAGTTTTGCAAACAGAGTTTTTTGCAGCTGTTTACCTAAAAATGCAGCCGAGGTGTTTTTTAAATAAACATTTCAAACTATTTGCAGAACAATCAGCTGTTCTGCATCAAATCTGATGCCACACAAATTATTTGTGCCGCTGCAAAAAATAATTTCTGTCCACTATGAGATGAAGGAGAACAACAGCCTGATACCTGCAGGCCTGACAGCAGCAGATGTGTCACTGCTGCAACACCTGTAAACCATTGTTCTGACACACACAACAAAACTATTGACTACACTACACACTAACTACACTCTTAACTACACACTAACTACACTCTAACTACACAAGATTTGTGCTAAACTTGGCAATCGCATCTCAAACACGCCGTCACTCCTAAAACTTCCCCCTTCCTAAACAACTAAATGTCATGTTGCCATATCATTTTTTGATTGGTCGACATGGTGCATTTTTCCACCAATAGGAAAGGCTGGTGGGGGTTTGTTTTGGTGTTGTTTTTGCTCACAGGCTTTCGAGCGTTTTCCTTATAAAACGGCGTTTTTACCGTTTCTTCCTGCAGTAAATATAAACAACGACAGTATTCAGGAAGAAAACCAAACAATGCAGATATTTTATCATAACTCTGGTTTTACGTGGCCGATCAACACAATTCAAAAACTGGTATAAAGTCCACACTTTGTCCGTCAGTTGTTCCGTCTGTCCTGCTCACATCTCCAATGGTTGTACACGTTGTCATTAACGTGGCTTCACTCCACATCAGCCGCTTTGCTAAAACACCGGTGTCGCACATAAGGACGCTGTCATAGCCTGTCAGCCACGTTGATCAGCTGCGTATATACGAATGTGAATCGCGTGATTGGCTGGACTACGGGATAAGGTGGCCTCGTTCTGATCCCATACGGGAGCAGCCAGTCACTGACTAACACTGCAAAACAGAATCGTTAAAGTTTTCATTTTAATTTCAATTCAGGTGATTTTTCTTTTTTTTTTTTTTTTGTGCGCAACGCAGATTTTCTGTGCAGAGACCGTGCCAGCAGTGCGCAATTGTGCCAGCAGTGCGCAATTGTGCACGCGCGCAGCTTAGAGGGAACATTGCTTGCGAGTGTCGGGTCTTTTGTGTTTGTAGAAAATGTTTCATATCTTTGAGTTGAGCTCATGGAAAACAGGAGCAAAAACAAAAGTGTTGCATTTATATTTTTGTTCAGTGTAAATGATAAAACATCAGGTTTGACCCAGAATACAGTTTGATCCACATGATGGCGCTGTGAAAAGTGCGCGCTGTACTGGTGGCACCAGTGTCCCCAGCCCACAGACCAGTGCTGCCACTAATCGAGTTTCATTAGCAGCATCTAAATGCTGTTTAAAGGTGGACTTCATCTGTCACACAGGAGCAGTTTGGCTTCGCTTTGCTTAAATAATGACCTGGTGTATTTCTGTATACACACCTGCTAAGGATCAGGTGACTCTTATAATAAAAGGTTAATACGTAAAACCTTAAAAATAAAAAGGGGTGTTTTTAGCAGTATTTAGGCTGCAGTCTGTGTATTATGTCCATGATATTCTACAGTGGGGCAAAAAAGTATTTAGTCAGCCACCGATTGTGCAAGTTCCCCCACTTAAAATGATGACAGAGGTCAGTAATTTGCACCAGAGGTACACTTCAACTGTGAGAGACAGAATGTGAAAAAGAAAATCCATGAATCCACATGGTAGGATTTGTAAAGAATTTATTGGTAAATCAGGGTGGAAAATAAGTATTTGGTCACCTCAAACAAGGAAAATCTCTGGCTATCACAGACCTGTAACGTCTTCTGTAAGACGCTTTTCTGTCCCCACTCGTTACCTGTATGAATGGCACCTGTTTGAACTCATCATCTGTATAAAAGACACCTGTCCACAGCCTCAAACAGTCAGACTCCAAACTCCGCCATGGCCAAGACCAAAGAGCTTTCGAAGGACACCAGGAAAAGTATTGTAGACCTGCACCAGACTGGGAAGAGTGAATCTACAATAGGCAAGCAGCTTGGTGTGAAAAAATCAACTGTGGGAGCAATCATCAGAAAATGGAAGACATACAAGACCACTGATAATCTCCCTCCATCTGGGGCTCCACGCAAGATCTCATCCCGTGGGGTCAAAATGATCATGAGAACGGTGAGCAAAGATCCCAGAACCACACGGGGGGACCTGGTGAATGACCTGCAGAGAGCTGGGACCAAAGTAACAAAGGTCACCATCAGTAACACACTACAACGGCAGGGAATCAAATCCCGCAGTGCCAGACGTGTACCGCTGCTGAAGCCAGTGCATGTCCAGGCCCGTCTGAAGTTTGCCAGAGAGCACATGGATGATACAGCAGAGGATTGGGAGAATGTCATGTGGTCAGATGAAACCAAAGTAGAACTTTTTGGTATAAACTCAACTCGTCGTGTTTGGAGGAAGAAGAATACTGAGTTGCATCCCAAGAACACCATACCTACTGTGAAGCATGGGGGTGGGAACATCATGCTATGGGGCTGTTTTTCTGCCAAGGGGACAGGACGACTGATCCGTGTTAAGGACAGAATGAATGGGGCCATGTATCGTGAGATTTTGAGCCAAAACCTCCTTCCATCAGTGAGAACTTTGAAGATGAAACGAGGCTGGGTCTTCCAACATGACAATGATCCAAAACACACCGCCCGGGCAACAAAGGAGTGGCTCCGTAAGAAGCATTTGAAAGTCCTGGAGTGGCCTAGCCAGTCTCCAGACCTCAACCCCATAGAAAATCTGTGGCGGGAGTTGAAAGTCCGTGTTGCTCGGCGACAGCCCCAAAACATCACTGCTCTCGAGAAGATCTGCATGGAGGAATGGGTCAAAATACCAGCTACTGTGTGTGCAAACCTGGTAAAGACCTATAGTAAACGTTTGACCTCTGTTATTGCCAACAAAGGTTATGTTACAAAGTATTGAGTTGTATTTTTGTTATTGACCAAATACTTATTTTCCACCCTGATTTACCAATAAATTCTTTACAAATCCTACCATGTGGATTCATGGATTTTTTTTCACATTCTGTCTCTCACAGTTGAAGTGTACCTCTGGTGCAAATTACTGACCTCTGTCATCATTTTAGGTGGGGGAACTTGCACAATCGGTGGCTGACTAAATACTTTTTTGCCCCACTGTACATTACAGTAAAAACAGTAATTATATAAAGAACAGATGGATCAGGATCCTGTCTGTGTCTTTACTATGATCTCAGCTGATAATGAGGCTTGAAAGAGACATGTTTGAACTTTTGCATTGATCAGACAAATAAGCCTGCATGTTTGCATAGCTTTAACTGTAAAACATGAAGCCTTTATTATTAAAAAAACAAAACCCTTTTAGTGTCATACAGGTAAGAAAGCAGCGAAGCGTTTTTCTCTCTAACAGATGTTTCATCTGTTTTCTCTGCCGTTGCTCTGATGGGACCTGCAGGGTGTTTTTGGTGACGTGGAGGTTTGCACAGTTGCTGCCTGTGGTGTGTGTAGAAATGTTCATGTTCTAGTCCCACTGTGAAGCACATAGACGTGTCCTGACTTCCTGTCTGTCCCACACTCTGTCTCTGTTTGTTGCTGCCAACAGTACAAGTCATCTTTGCAGATTTTACTGAATTAACAAAAACATATTTACTGAAAGACTTATTCAGTAAACATGTTTGTTACACTGAGACTGAAACAGAGATCCCTGTTTACGCTCATAGAAAACGAGCCTCTGTTTTACTTTATTGAAATCATTTCTAATCACAGACAGGATCAGCAGCGTGCAGCTGCAGTGAGGTGTTAGTAGAGGAGCTGTGTTTGTGAGCTGTAGTCTGGATCAGGTCTCTGTGGGAGACTCGGTTACAGTACTTCTGAATATCCACGTGTCCACCTCACACAGCACATTTCTTCAGAATCGGTTGCTGTTTGCTAACATTTGACCTTTGCCCTTTTAGGCTGCCCTTCTGGCGCCCGTTGATGAGGACTTGGGATCTGACAAGAAGCAAACTGGGGGAAGTAGCAGAGTACCAGACTTCCCTCCTCCAGCAGGCCGGGAGATCTTGTTGCGCACCTGTGTGCCGCGACCAGCAGCGTACTCCAAGGCGCTGCCTCAGCGGCTCTTCTGTGTCCTGATGAGGGAGGAGTTTAGGTTGACCGGAGGCTTTTCCACAGACACGTCCTCCTTTTAAGTCCCGTGAACAATTCACACCTGGGATGAAGATAAGTGAAGGACACAGGATGGAGACTTTCACATGTATGAATGTGGCCATGGAGTAAGATCATAGAAATACATTTCTTCATTTGTTTGCTTTATTTGTAAGAACGGTGCAATATTTCAGCATCTACGGCTCGCCCAAGCTTAAAAGCAGGAAGCAGTATATTACTGGCATTGATTAAGAAGCATTTATGGCTTTGTCTGGAAATATGTGAAACTAAATCCTTCTGTGTATTCATAAATCTGCAGCTTCCTGCAGCTGTGATAAAACAGTTTCACACTAAAACCTTCATTTTACCTTCAAAGCTTCTCTTGATGCCTTTTTAAGGAAATGAAATTTGTTGTTAGGATGGAGTTCCCCATCCTGCACTCACCACACGCTAACACAACCTTCTCAACTCTGATATTTAGTAGATTATATTTCAGTTGCAGGGATTGGTCCTGATGGTAAACATGAGAGTCGGTGAGGACTTCATGGGTCGTTTCAGCTGAGCTCCATCCTCCAGCATGTCCTGCTGCTGGATTAACACACAGCTGTTTGTTTGCATCCAACCAGAACCAGACCGTGCAGTTCTTATTCCTGTTCATAAGCTGATTGTTCAAACATGAAGCTCTTTGACGTTGTATAAAAACTGAAACGACACTTTACAGCTGACTGTGATGTTTTAAATGGAGCTGGTTCCTCGAGGCGCGTCCGACAGCATGAGGGGAAACTTGGTTTTGTCATATTTTCTTTGTTTTGTTAAGGGTGTATCCATCCCATGATACAGACACATACAGTTTAAACGATGTTTAATGTTAATCAAAACTTCTAAGATCCAGGTTGAATAAAACAGCATTAGGTGTGTGATTTCACTCTGCTCCACACACCTGCGTGCTCCAATCAGAGACACCAGAGGAACAGGTGATGAATGTGATGGGAATGATAGGTTTGTAGCATAAACCTATTCGCTGGAACGTTAAGGACAATCTGCTACGCAGCAAAAAGCAAGACTCAAGGCACCAAAGTTCTCTGGTTCACTCATGCATGAGGGAGACCTGGCTGGAGCCAAGTGTCGTCCCACCACTTGACCTCCGTCAGACTCTCAGCCAGACTCCCCAGAGCACTCCTTTTATTGTGGTGACATGAATATGCATTGGGTCATTAACATATAACATCTTACATAGGTATACATGTGAACAAAGAATACTGTGTGTGTGAGGTCAAGATGTGACCCTGTGAAGACTCCCCAAAGCTGGTGCCAGGAGTCTAACAGGTCCATCTAAACAAAAGGCTCTTACACTCAAACAGATATACATGTGTTTGCTATACCATATATCAAGAAAAGATAAAACCTCTCCTAGGGGGTGTGATCTATGCCAGAACACACTCTGTAGAGGAGTGAACGCACTCCCCTCTTCATGCTACACAGAGTTGTTACAGACCTCCTAGGATGAGACATTCTTTCAATCTACAATTGATTATACACTTCTAAGCATATATGAGTAAATGTTTCTAAGCATAAATGACAATCAACAATACAAAACCTAACATTCCCCCCTTTATTGACCTTTATGCTAGAAAGGTTTCCAGTTATGAATACCTCATGTCTGACAGTTTCAATGCCAACATTGTTATACTCAGCATACGTCAAATCACCCTAAATCACTGTAAAAGTACAGAGTTTAACAAAGGTATTAGCGGATATCCCATTCCCCATTGATCTCATCTCATGGCAAACTGCATCCTACAAACAAACAAAGAAATTGTTAATTTAATAGTGAAAATAAGAAGATAACATTTTCAAAAACATCCCATCTTGGTGATGCTTCCTCCGGGTGTGCAATCACATGTCTCTCTGCAGAGTGGTTTGAGTTCTGCAGGGTGTCATAAATGTCTCTTCCAGTTGTTTCCATCACTGTCCATAGGACCAGAGTCCAAATGTATGTAGAATAGACATTCAAACATACCAGTTAGTTTTGTTGTTTGTCAACATGGGTCTCAGCTATTTCCAAAGCTGCAGACCTCATAGGAAACTGCTGTTATCACCACCATAGCTTCTGGTTCCTGTGCTTTTCACAGAATCATGATGTCATCCTTAGACTCCTTCCAACGCTGCTGAAGGTTTAAGGCAGAGCACGTCGTACACCTTAGTTGTCTTCCTCAGCGTCAACATTGAATCTTTCATTGTATTTAAAATCTTGCTGTGGGAAGTCTCCTCTTGATCTCCTGGAAGCTCAGTAGCACAGCTCTCTGTGTGATGTCTGCTGTGCTGAAGATGATCTCTGATCCTCCTGAAGTCTCTCTCCTGGCCTCAGCTCCCATCTTGTGGACGATCCTCTCAGGCACTCCTTTTCGTCATGGATAGTCCTGATTTTGGGCCTGCTGGATCTGTCTCAAAACATTCAGGGCGTCAGTCATGTTTGATGAATGTGCGTCTTCTTTATGTAAATGCAGCATGTGTTGTTGAAGAGGACACAAAGTCCCCTTTCTCTGCTAATATCATAGAGTAGTTCTTCCCTGAGAGTTGGTCCAGGAACATATATAGTGTGGGGTATGTTGCCGTGCTGGGTAGATGGGAACAGACATAATAGTCTGTATTTGCCGATTCTGCTTTTGTTCTGTCGTGGATATAACGGTACCAGGCATTATTCATCCATGGAGGGATGTGGTCTTGCATCATGTCTCTTAGGTGAGAGTTGTCATGTGTCCATCCTCTCTGCCTTCCTCCTGGTTCAGCTGATTCCGGCACCAGCTGGGGTCCTGTAAAGGTGAGCGTCGTAGTCAAGGTAACCAAGAGGGTCCACCTTCCCATGGTTGCACACAGGTGCGTCACGCCTCGCACTTGGTTGCCCTAGAGTTGATCAGAGGCTGGAGGTTGAAGTGCGAGCTTACCCTACGGGGGCTCAATCAGCACTCCCCCCTCACCACTGAAACAACCAAGTGTGAGATTTCTCTATTGTGCTGTCTTGGGGGTGCCGGGGTTTCCTGGGACCTCGACCTCTTTGCAGTGGCTCTGATAAATCCAGGAGGGTCTCTCGCTATTTTGCAGGCAGTTGAAATGGTCCTTGCTGTGGCTCCAAGGTCTGATCTCATGATGGGCCCCAACCAGCTTGACCTTTGACCTCAACCACTGCCTGGGCTGTCCGCTATGCCTGGAATGTTTCTCGCGTCTCACTGCTGCACCTGTATTTCAGAAAAACTTCTATTTGGAGAGCACGTCAACAATCATCAAACCACATTCTTTAGTTCAGTGAACTTCACTAATAGGCCATCAAAGCCTCATCTGAACATGTAAATAAACGGTTAATCACACAACTCACTGCAACAATAATAGTAAACATTGTTTAGTGTTAATTCTGGACCCCACCACTTGACGCATGGACACTCTCATGCGTCAACTCATCAAACTCAGATTCCTGTCTGAAAGAAAAAGGGTAGCCAGATCATGTCCCAGGCAACAGCAGGGCATCTCCTCCCCTGGAGAAGCACCACCCTGGACCTATAATCCTGCAATAAAAATGTTAGTGTGTTTTGCATATTAAATTTGCTTAACACCTGGCTCTGCCAGGAGCCTGCATACACACCATCATGGCCTGGAAAACAAGATCTGGAAATGAAATTAAACTTCACACTTATAAACAATTATATCATAAGAGTAATAAGCATTCAGCACGGGCAAGACAAGTGTCATGTGCAGGTTTTCACAAATCAGTAAACCACAACTATTACCCTAATTTGCCCCAGACATGGATCATCCCATGTGCTCAGTTAACATTAATGTAATCGGTGACTTCTCTTAAGTAAAGTCACTCAACTCATCAATCACTATGAGCTCAATAGCCCATCTCCAACTATTCCATAAACAATCCCTTATTTGTTTTTCTCATGTCACTTGTCCGCTTCTGCTGAATCCTCTACATGCATTCTCAGAAAAACAAACATTAGCAACACACATTGATTATCCTGGTATAAATCATCTAGCCACATGAAGAACTGTAATGCTGTAGAGAAGAAATGCAAATGTTAGCGCTGTGCAGGTGTCTTGTCAGTCTTGTCAGCTTTTGTCAGCTTTTACCAGTCAGTCAGTTTTGGTTTTTTTTCCCCTTTCACTCATCCATTCATGCATTCATTCTTTCTTTCTTTGCTGATAGTAGAACCCATCGTCGCATTTAGTTTCCACTCTCAGCAAAATGACGTCATTTCAAAAAGAAAAAGAAGAACTTTAGTTCGGATTACATCGCTGAATCCTTTTTGGACAGGAACTTACTTCCTAATTGTCCCAAATAAGTGGCGTTCTCCAGAGCCCATTTTAATGTGGAGAAACTCACTTGTAACAATTTCCTCGACGTCGTGTCGTACAGCGCTTTCTGTTCTAATCGTGCAGATCTGCTCAAACGACAGAGATTATCGAACAAAACTTTCAGTGCACTGTGAAAGTATCAAAATAAAAAGGCCTTGTTAAGTCATGACACAAGCTCCTCATCTCAGGAGGGTAAATCGTACCATTAGCATGGTTCATCATACTATCATACTAATTGGCAGGCTCAACTTCACAACAGAAGAAAAATCATCAGCTAGATTCACTCCAAACCAACCATCAGCTGCACAACACACAACATAAGCCTAATGTCTTATTAGCTATGAGTTTAGTCACCAGGTCTGTGCTCTTCACTCATTTAAGCCACAGATTTTATTCAGTTTTCCTTTTCCCTTCATCATAAAACATGTGACATGTTGTCATGCACTTCACAAAAGAAGTTTGTTCTGACGTATTCAGAGTTGTGTATCTAAATACAGGATTCATTCGCACATCAAAACAGGAAACTCAGTGTTTTAGAGTCTCCACTCAACACACAACAAACTCCAAACATCTCATTCACTCGTGCTAGAATTCAGTCACCTTTCATTAATCTAAGAACGATCAACTAATTTGCATATCAGCTATTAACCCACTAAGTTGACAGGACAACAGGAAAAGCATGTTCAAAATAGTATCACAAAAGACAATTTCCCTCATACAGTAAATCACTTGCTGCATCAATCAAGCAGGAAGCTTCTCCCAATTTACTATATCAACAACTAAATTTATTGTCTGATCACTGGTTGGTCAAACCAGGATCTTTTTTCCCACAAAAGTTAAATTGTTGTCCTGCAACCTAGAGAGTCAATTTTTTTTGCATTGGATAAATTCAGCATTTGATAACAAGTGTCTGCTAAATTGACACTATTTTAACACTGATGAAAGATAAGCTAATTTTCATTGCATGGGTGTTTGTGTTATTAGGCAGGTCTAATGCATGTCTGTGGAGCTGCATCTCCAGCAGGGCATGTTCTTAAAGCTGCCTTTCCTACACACTTCTCTGCTATTATTTAATCATTTCTTAACTAATGTGCTATGAGTCCACTGGTTTTTGCATCACACTAAGTGACCTGGACAAAATGACAGACTCACATGCTTAAAATGTTGTCTAATCTTCATGAGCTCTCTTGTTTTGTATTAGTAGGGTTAATGCATGTTCTGCTTGTGTGTGTGATTTTGTATATGTTTCTATTTTCGCAGTGTTTCAGACTCCTTCACAATTTTCCAACTTAAGCAGTCAGTTTTGTTTTTCCCAGGTTTGCTAACCCAAATTTTGATTTCCCACATTTAAATAACAGCATTCCTCTGTGTTTCTACTTACTCTCACTCTGTTGTCCTCTCCCACTTCAACAGACCAACAGCCGGCAGTTCTCCTTCAGCTTTGTCCTGTGTTCCACTGTCTCTTCTTGCCATTTTACTCCACAGGTGGCAAATGTCAAACTCCAACAGTCTCCTCAGTTCTTCTCAAAAGTTTTCTTCACATGCACAGTGAAGTTGCAGCTTGTTGTAAACACAGTGCCATTCATCCGATCAATCAGGATGATGGGTTTGCTCTTCTTCTCTGATGCTGTTTGTCCATACTGCTGCTGCTTGCTGGGACTCTTTGTTGCTGTCTCTTTATCTGCCATGTTATTGCTCTTTGGAGCTGCATTCCTTGTCTTCAGGGAGGAGTGAGCTTGCTTGTGAGGTTGAGAGACACATGGTGCTATAAATAAGTCAGCCAGAAACTTGGCCTGCATGTTTTCAATGATGTTAAACTATAACTTTCTTCCGACTGCTGCATGTGGAAAATTGATTCAGGTCTGCTTTTCACCTGAAAGTGACAAACTAAGACATGTTCATTATTATCATCACTGCTTAATCAACACACATCTCTCTCTCTCTCGGTTTTTGTGAACAGTCCTTTCTTAAAAGCAGAAAATGAGATTGTAGATGTTTTTGGCTGATCAACACAAAACATTTTTCCTATAATTATTTTTCATCTACAATGTACATTTTGTCTCTTTTTCACTCTTTTGTTGCTTTTTTTCTTTACAATAGCTGGTGACCTGCAGAATCACCGCTCTCACAATCAAAGGCAATTACTTTTACACAGCGCACAAAAACACTGTGATGTCAGACACATTCACACTCACTTTGTCATCTGCATAAATAACTCATATGGCTAATGATATGTGCCATGGTGAACCATAAATATGATCACCAGTTTATTTAATTATTTTTAACCCAACAAAACAAATAACAGAAACATGATGCTGATGCTATGAACACTCGAGTCAAGATGCAGGGAAACTGCTCACGGAAATGCTGCACACTCCAGTTATCAGTTATCAGAGCTCTGTTTCCCTCTCTTTGAGTAGTTCTCAGACAGCTCTCGATCTGATAATGTGTAGCTTGCTCATCAGCTCAGAAGAGACCGCAACGCAACATCACACAGTAGTTGCATGCTCTGCCCACAGTGGCAAAGACTTGCACTTTCATATTCAACACAGCTTCTCCATCATGTACTTTTAGATGTGTCATACAGGGTTCAGCATATTAGTTGTTTAACCTGAAAGCACTAGTGGGAACACTAGTGCTCTATATCTCAACAATGGCTCATAATAAGACAACAGTCTTTCACACAGGTCAAGTGCCTCTATGCACTTCATTAGTTTAAATATTTGCCTATATCACTTCACCTCATATGTCATTGTACTGAACTTGAGCAACCACAAGCTTAATGCAGATTACTTTTAACAACTATCCACCTCAATTAAATCTATGGTCTGGCTGTTGTCGATCAGGGCAAGCTAAAGAATAAACATTTTGTGTCAGCAAGGGGTGGGGGAAAGCCATTCACCACAGCACATCTCAAGTGCTGCTGATGTGGGCTGGCCTTCTCCACACGCCCTTCAAGGCTGGTGTGTTTTCTGAAAACTTCTAACATTTGAATCTCTTCCATTTATAAGCCTGCGATTAACCGCACGGCTCAGGTCCGCGTGAAACCCGCGCGACCGCGCTCGCGTGAACCCGTGCAGCGAAAGGAGCCGTCGCTCTCTCTCTCTTTTTTTTTTTAAATACTTTGCGCTGCCAGGAGCAAAGTCCAGCATAAAGTCTGTCTCCCTCCGACTCACTCTTGGTTGCTTAGAAACCCATGATAACAACAACAGTCGGTGTCACAGACCACGTGTTCTGCCCCGCACACACTCACACAACAACAACAACAACGACAACAACACAAAATAGGCCTATCGTCCAGCACAGTCTGGACCCCGCGGAACTTCTCAACGCCTCACAAATGGCGGAGAACTCACCTCTCGCTGCACAAAGTAGCGAGGAACTCACTTATCGCTCAAAGTAGCGAACTTCTCAACGCCTCACACAGTGGCGGAGACTGCACAACCACACGGTTATAGAGTCGGGCTCTTTAAACTTACTCGGCGTTGCTTAGCGTGTAATATCAGCCTCGGATCCCGCCGATCGTCATTCATCGAGGAGAAAAGACAGACAGCGAATCCATAGGAACTTCCTAGCTGACGTCAGTCTTTCAGCGTGCCTCTCCTCCCCTCGGTGAATGTCGATTCCAGGGCTCCGGCTCTCGAAGGACCAATTAATGATAGGTTTGTAGCTTGAACCCATCCGCTGGAACGTTGAAGACAATATAATTACACAGCAAAGCAAGACACGAGTAGGCAAAGTTCTTCATGTTTCTCGTGCACGGGAGAGAACTGGACAGACGCCGTTCCTTCGCTTGACCCCAGTTGCTCTCGCCCGCTCTCCCGTACCACTGCTCTTTTATTGAGGTTACATGAATATGCATAGGTTCATTAACATATGACGTCTACATACACACAAAGAGTACCGTGTGTGTGTGTGTGTGTGTTACTGCTGATCAAAGGGTCATATACATGGAAGCACACAACAAACATCCTTGGTCAGGAAGAGGGTAGACCCCCCCCTCACCCTAGATGGTTCACCCTAGATAACAAGGTAAGGAAGTCCTGCAGTTCATCTAAACAAAGAGCACTTAGACTAGAACAGACGTAACTACGTTAATCCTACCATAAAACAATAAGACACGGTACGACCTCTCTCATGCTCCCAGAGTGCTCTCTAATACACACAAAGTTTGCAGACTATCAAGGATCAAAACCTCTACCAATCTACAACTAATTACAAAACTCTAAGCACTAGGGGTGCAACGATACACAAAATTCACGGTTCGGTTCGATACTTTGGTGTCACGGTTCGATATTTTTTCGATACAAAAAAATGTTCATGCCTTTTTAATTTGTCATTTATTAAAATTATAAATATATATTTTAACTCAAAAGTACAGTTTTTAAATTTAACCCTAACCCTTGTGCGTGTTTTTTATTTTGACAGCGAATGCGCACCTGCGGACCACTTATGTGCAGCCCTGGTTATTTAGCTCGTCATATCGCAGCCACAGAAATTCTTTTGTCCATGAAACCATAAAGCTGCACTTTCTTTTTGCCTTATAGTCTGATTTGTCATAACTTCTCCGTTTTGTGGTAAGCTTTTCTTTGGCTGTCACTTCTTCACCCTGACCTGTCTTATTTGGCTCAGCAGAACTGAAATGCTTTTACACACTCACTCACATAAGCTCAGCGATTCTCTGCGCGATCAACCTCTCACATGTTTAAGCTTGCTGCGGGAGATTTCACTTGTCATGTTTGCATAGTAAGCTAACGATTAATAAGACGATGTCAGAGGAATTGGTGCACAAATTATCATCACTCACAGATCAGTGCTGTCGCTCTCTATACACAGTTCGCACGATTGCAAAGTGAAAGCAAAAAAACAAGCGCAAATTCAAACGTGACTTCAATATGTCACATATTGACAGTGGCTCACCGATGCCAATGACATAATTACCCAGCTACATTTCCGAAAGAATGCAAAAGCATTGACATATATTTTTCCTTCCTACAGTAGCCCGACGGGCAGGGAAGAGAGATTTTGGTAGCCCGACTGAAAAAAATCGCTAGCTCCAGGACGTCGGGCTAGCGATATTGCGAGCCCTGTATCTGATTGAGGAATCACTCATCTTTGGAAAGAGAGTTTATTACAGAGAAATGGCTCTTTCCAAAATAAAAGACAGATTCACTGAGCGCTCAACACAGACAGCATCGTCAGAAGGAAAATTGATCAAATAAATTACAAATGTTGTATTGTTCGATACATATGCGTACCGAACCGAAAGCACTGTATCGAACGGTTCAATATCGATACGAATATCGTTGCACCCCTACTAAGCACATATAAGTAAATATTTCTAAGCATAAATGACGATCAACAATACAAAACCTAACAGTCACAATGAAAGTCTTTCCCACCACCACAGTGATGACAGGGTTGAGAACTGGATCCATCTGTGTCGCTCTGCTTCTAAACAAAGACACAAAGACAGTGTAAGTCAGTCCTTCAACATTTGTATCCTGAACGTCGCCTGAAATAAAGAGCATCTCTGCAGACGTCCAACTACATTTGACTGTTTCAGTTAACACACTCAGTTTACTGGGCTGCAATAACTACAATACTACCACCATAATACTACAGTAATACTAAAATCATAACTGAAAGGAAAATCTGAATAATCACTCAGAGCTGCTTTTCCATGCAGTAGAATTGCTAACATGCTAACACAGTTTAATGAGCAGAGTTGTTCCAAACAGTCAGGCTAAAATGACAAGATAACAATATAAATACATACCTCACAGTAGCTGCACTTGTAGAGTCTCTTTCTGGTGTGGATCTGCTGGTGTTGTCTCAGGTAACATGGAGATTTAAAAGTCTTCTCACACAGGTCACATTGATAAGGTCTCTCCTCAGTGTGGGTAAACATGTGTCGTTGTAAGTGTGCGTCTGTTGTAAACTGTTTGCCACACTGTTCACAGCAGTACACATCATGTCTGGTGTGAATGCGTAGGTGTATATTTCGGCTCTCTCTCCGGCTGAAAGTTTTTCCACAGATGTCACAGCTGTATGCCTTAATTCCAGAGTGGGTAACTAGATGCTTCTGTAAGCTGCTACTTTGAGTAAAAGCTCTGCCACACTGATCACAGCTGTACGCTTTAACTCCACTGTGGATGAGTTGGTGTTTTTTTAGGTACTCCTTCAAGGAAAAATACTTTCCACACATGTCACAGCTGAACGGTCTCTCTCCAGTGTGGATGACCTGATGCTGTTTTAGTGAAGCCTTCAGAGTAAACTCCATCCCACACTCGTCACAGCTGTATGGCTTAATTCCAGAGTGGGTAACTAGATGACTCTGTAAGTGGCTACTGTGAGTAAAAGCTCTGCCACACTGATCACAGCTGTACGCTTTAACTCCACTGTGGATGAGCTGGTGTTGTTTTAGGTAACCCTTCAAGGAAAAGACTTTCCACACATGTCACAGCTGAACGGTCTCTCTCCAGTGTGGATGACCTGATGCTGTTTTAGTGAAGCCTTCAGAGTAAACTCCATCCCACACTCGTCACAGCTGTATGGCTTAATTCCAGAGTGGGTAACTAGATGCTTCTGTAAGCTGCTACTTTGAGTAACTCTTTGCCACACTGTTCACAGCAGTACACATCATGTCTGGTGTGAATGCGTAGGTGTATATTTCGGCTCTCTCTCTGGCTGAAAGTTTTCCACAGATGTCACAGCTGTATGCCTTAATTCCAGAGTGGGTAACTAGATGCTTCTGTAAGCTGCTACTTTGAGTAAAAGCTCTGCCACACTGATCACAGCTGTACGCTTTAACTCCACTGTGGATGAGCTGGTGTTGTTTTAGGGAACCCTCCAAGGAAAAGACTTCCACACAAGTCACAGCTGAACGGTCTCTCTCCAGTGTGGATGACCTGATGCCGTTTTAGTGAAGCCCTCACAGTAAAACCCTTCCCACACTCGTCACAGCTGTATGGCTTAATTCCAGAGTGGGTAACTAGATGCTTCTGTAAGTGGCTACTGTGAGTAAAAGCTCTCCCACACTGATCACAGCTGTACGCTTTAACTCCACTGTGGATGAGCTGGTGTTTTTTAGGGAATCCTTCCAGGAAAAATACTTTGCACACAAGTCACAGCTGAACGGTCTCTCTCCAGTGTGGATGACCTGATGCCGTTTTAGTGAAGCCCTCACAGTAAAACCCTTCCCACACTCGTCACAGGTGTGTTTTTTCTCTCCCTTTCTTCTGTGAGGTTTGTCGGCCTCCTGAGAGCGCTGACTTCTGGCTCCATGTTGGTCCTGCAGTGACAGAGATACAAACAGAGGCAGTGAGTGAAATGCAGTCGTGGAACAAACTCAACCTTCAAACTCCATTAACACTAGTTTTAAACCTGAAGGTGGAGCGTGGCACCAAACACCTTAAAGGTCTCTTATCCCACCTGCTGGTAGTTCTAACACATTACATCCAACCTGCTGTTAAAGATAATTCATGACTGTTCAAACACTAAAATCATGCCCATCCCTCCTGATTGTACACACACACAACACACACACACACACACACACCACACACACACACACACACACACACATTATTTATAATTTAGATTATTTGTTGTTTCCTATTACATATTTCTATAATTTGTATAGATTTATACAGAATTATTCAGTGATAATAAATCCTATGTTTGTTTATTCTAAAGGAACCCCGTTACTTCCACAACAGATGTTGCTCGTCTTCCGTCAAATACTTACATAAAATATTACACAATAAAGTGGATTCAAGATATCCACATAATTTCACTCTTACATCCACAGTGAGGTTTCACAATTGTTCAAATATAAGCAATCAATAATAATAATAATAATAATAATATCAATAACATTGAGCACATTACACAAATTTCAAAAACAAATCATGTCTTACAATATTTACAACAACTAAAAGCTCTGTAAATCGGCTTTTAAGTGTTCATTGAAGTTTTGAATAATTCTCTAATTTTTAAGGCAACTTATTCCACTTAAAAGTTGCTCTAAATGTAACAGTTTTACAAAACGTTACTTTTAACTCGAGCATTTACTAAATTGCAGCTTGTTGAAAACTGTGTAATATGATGATGTATTTCATCTGGATACTGCAGCTGAGCAGAATAAATGTGTGTGTTTAACAGAATTGCTTTCTTTAGAACTACAAGTAAGCCATAGAATATTTAGCCTGTACAGGAAGCCAAGAAAGTTTATTATGCATTTTATCAATATTAGTATAGTATGAACATCTTCACACTAATCTGGACGCCTTATTCTGGACTAACTGAAGTCTGTTAAGATCTGTCTTATTAGCTGCTGACCAAATGATTGAACAATACTCCAGATGAGACATTACTAGTGCATTAATGACATCTTTCATAATGAAGAAGTGATACACAAAGAGCATTTCATAGCCATAGCTATGCCTTGTCGGCAGAGTTATGTGACATTAGTGATGTTTGTACTTTCAGCGTTAACTTGGTTTTAAAGCCTTAAAGTATCGCCGTTCAATAGTCGACCTTAATCTGACAGAGATTGTGATGATTTTGTGGATAATTAAAGTCAGTCATATATCCACAAACACAACAAGCTGAAAGTCAGTGATGCTGCCCGGTTGCAGTCCTGAACATCACGGCACAAGCAGGATTCACTGCACTGTTAATGTTAGCTGTGTTATATTGCTGCCTCTGTTCGTGGTGTCGAGCCAAACGCACTTTAACGTGTGTGTGAACGAGCTGACGGTTCACTCGTTAAGCTGAAAGAAAGATGCTTTAACCACAGCAGTCACACATGTGTCCACTGCACCATCTGAACTCTTCTTGTTTACACTCGTAATAACACAAACACTAAATCCTGCTTCTCTGGTGCTGTTGTGTAGCAGTGTGTACACCTGAGACTGTCACCTGTCTGTCTGTCCTGCACTCTCTCTCTGTTTCTTTCTCTCTGACTGTGAATAAAAGTATGAACATGTGTTTATAAGTTACACTTGTGTTTGAATCCTGCAGCTTATCACACATTTGATTTCCATGTGTGACGACTGCAAGTGTCCAGAGTGAGGACAGACTGAGGG